TGTTAGAAAAGTGGTGGTGGTTGGTTTGGAGAAGAAGAAGATAAGATGATAAGGGGCGCGGCGGATGAGGGGAATAAAAAAAAAAGAGGGGAGGGCGCGTCCGCCAGAGTCTCAGGCGGATCCGCCCATTTTATATTAAAAAGTTTAAAAAGCAGTTCCGCCTAAGTCTTGAGCGATCTCGCTTTGCAAGCAAAACACAATATTTATGTCAATACTTTTAAAACCGTCATATTAATGATAAATAAATAAAAAAACAATATGTTGTGAATAAACCCCATCATAACACTTTCAATATATTTTTTTGTATTTACTACCGTTTCACCGTTCCTTGTACATATCCCCTGTCCCAAATCCGAATCTTCGCGCTAGCGTACTGCCGGATTGAATCGAATATAAAATCCCAGTCTCAACCAATTTTCTCTTCGGTTTATCAGATCCGCCATACGGTAAAGAAATCATTAAACGTTTCTAGTCCTAGGGTTAGGGTTACCGAATCATAAGTAGGCAGGAAAAAAAGACTTCGTAACCTTATTAAGAATTGCAAAAGAGAAAAAAGGACTCCATATCTGGGATTTGGGGAGATCTTCAGGTCCTTTTCTCCCTTTTGCCTTCCCGCTAGAAGCAAATTCGGCGGCTGGGAGACGACGTGCGTAATTATCATCATTCGGAAGAATTTTCTGGCTTAACCGCCCGCTGGCCGTTGAAATCCATGATCGGCAGCGCCCTATGGACCCCTCTCAACAGCTCACTCATCCTCCGATCAATGATGAAGAAGATGAATGGGGTATATGCTATTTTCCTTCCTTCCCTTTTCTCCACTGGATGAAACTGCAGGGGGGTTTGCTTCCACGATGTGCTTGTATTGGATTCGACGAATATTGAACGACTTGAATTCTTCTATGGTGTCTCGAAGCTGCTTGATTGTGTTGAATTTTTGCTGATCGCAACATGTGTTTTACCTGCATTGGTTGATTAATAGATACTATATATTTGTAGTAGTGGAGCATGTTGGTTCAGTATTATTCGATTTCGTATTGCTCTCGAATGTTCTGATTAAACTTTTTCAGCTATGCCTTAGGTAGTTGCGCTGGTTTGGTTCCAGTTAATGGTTCCTGATGTTGTTAAGAAAGAGGGATGAAGTTTGAAATCACTGCCCTGCTTTTGAAGTTGATAGGTTGCATTGTTGTCAAAAATACAATTAGTACATTGTGCCGATCTTTGCTTGAGTGGATAGTCATAACTGATTATTCTCTGAAAAGGTGGAACGCTATTCCTGGCGATTTCCTGGCTAATGTGGGGAATCATTTGTGATGAAGGATTTAAGGTAGTAGGTTGACCCACTAGTGGTTGAAGATACTTGGCAAACAAGTTGACATTGGTAAGTTTGACCTAAGATAAGCTTTTAAGGAGAGGGGTAAACAATTCTATCCTAGATTACCGGGTTTAGTACTCCCAGCTCCATCCACATCAGGCGAAGTGGAAGTTAATAGCTTTTCATTCGTCCTAAGAGTATTTTCTTAATCCTTCCAAGTTCCTTGACTGGGTCTTATTCAGGATTTCGTGTTACCTTTTGAACTCCATACAAGTATATTGTTCTGATCTCTAAGTCTATTTCTTTGATCTTCCCTGCCCACAATGTAACTATTATAAGTTTCACAACCTCAAGGTTTTGACCTGATTATGTTAATTTGACTGCAATGTCAGCTCCTTCCCTATTAGTTGTGTCTCGACAAATAGAGCACTTGTGCATTTGTTTGAGAGAAAGATAGACGATTTGGAATTTTCTTATAAATGTACAGCATGTCTGGAGTTGCAAACTTAGACTTCATGTTCTTTTATATCATATATTTAAGGTTGGTCAGGAAGGTGTTTAAATGTTCTAAGGCAAGGTAAATAGATCTTCATAAATCAAGAAGTGGCGACCAACTTTCCATCAGGCAGCAGTATAAAAGTTATCTTTGATATAGAAGGCATGTGGGTGTTATACAAGTGTTATATGGATTGCTTCTCTTCACATCATTCTTCAGGTGTTTGTCGCCTATATACTACAAGTTTTTCATGTTAGCATGTTATATGTATCCCAGGCTATTGCACTGTAAAGCGCAATTTGTATGGTAATGACTTCCGTGTAGTTAAAGCCCTTGTCTTGCTTGGATGATTTTTATCTCTCATTCCTGGAGAGGGGTGCTAGGCATACAATCTCTTTCACTTCATGCTTTTATACAAACTTAGCACTTGATTCTGTGGATGTGCTCAATTCTTTTAACACGATTTTGTTTTGTTTCATACTTCTTAAGCAAGCTTTCATTTTGGAAACCCATGCTCACACTTTTTTGCACTTTCATTATGTTTAAGACACGGATGGATTCGTAATTCCAAGCTTGGAAATAGAGAGCAGAGATCAAACTACACAGAATGATTTAGAAGTAGAAGTCTCAAAACCTCCTTCGCCAAAGGCAAGTTTTTCATCACCCCTATTCATTGAAGGAGTTTGGATTATAGAATAGCCTCTCTCTTATTCTTGTGTCTGTATAATCACCATTGTATTATCCCGCTAGTGCAGGGACAGAAGGAAGAACAGATATACTTAGGCCCACACGGTGCACCACCTTCACAAGCAAAGCAGCAGCAAGAAGTGAACGCATCCAGCCGCAAACAAAGGTTTAAGCAGAAGCTGAAGGACGCGGATAAGAGGATCAGCGGAACAGGGCGGGAGAACAAGGTGGAGAATCTCCGTGAACTAGTTGGTGGTGGTGGAGGGAAAACAGGCACCAAGATGCAGCAGAAGAACTCTACTCCGAAGGAATGGCTGGACCCGCATTGCCATGAATCCCAGTTTGAGAAGTGGCACCCCCAGTGAGCTCTGGCCTCTGGTTAGTCGATAAGTAAAAACCAAGCATACTCTACACTCTACAACAGTTTGGCTGCGGTCTTTCTTAACTTGGCGTCTGGTTTTGTTTTGAAAATTTACGCAATCTGTTGGAAACATCGGCCTGCCCAGGCCATGCTTGTCAGCAATAATAGACCAGTTGATGCTGGCTTTTGTCCAATTCTATCGTCACCGGCTAGGCGTCCCTCTTTTTATGGGGTACAATCTATTTTTGTTGTTAGCCACAACAACAGATATGTGTTCCGGCCAGCTTGTTACTTGTCGCAAGAATGGGAGCTTTTGCAGCTCTGTATGCAACAAAGGGAGAAAGGGTTGCACCATGTGGAGATGGCCGAAGCTAGAGCTGTGGCTCGGAATCGAAGAAGCACTTAATCAGTGGTTTCTCGCCGTTGTTGGTGGAGTATGATTGCTTACCACTGATTTAGAAACTGTCGAAGCTTGATGATGATCGGAGGGGATTGGATTTCCTCTGTGAGAAGGTAAGGTTGCAGGGAAGAGCTGGTTTGGTTAATGGTTACGGTTTGGAGTTTCATTCGCGGAGAAGGTTGTCTGTAACGGCTCACGCTTTAGCTCACCTTGAAACTGGCTAGGGACGAACTGTTTCATAGGCCCGATCGACCACCAATTCATCTCTTAGGGCTTCTGGCCCGTAATGACTGCAGCTAATTGATCGGCCTGTTTTTGCCCTGTTGTTTTCTATCGGTTTATCTTTCTCTTCTTCCCCAAATTCTAGTTCAAATTCCTGATTCTATAAAATTTCTGGTAAATGCCACATTTGAACATTGAGATTACTAAATCATGTCAAGTTTAATCATTATAAAAAATTAATATCAATTTTGGTCACTCAAATTACTGAAACACGTCAGATTTAGTCACTCTTCCGTTAATTTTCGTCCAACTCCATTGACGGAGTTGGGCGGAGGCTAACAGAGAGTAACTAAATGTGACATGTTTCAGTAATTCGAGTGACATTCATAAAAAAAAAAGAGTGATTCGAGTGATCGTAGTTGGACGGAGGCTAACGAGAGAGTGACTAAATGTGACCTGACCTGTTTTAGTAATTCGAGTGACCAAAATTGATATTAATTTTTTCTAATGACTAAACATAACACGATTTAGTAATCCCAGTGATCAAATGTGACATTTACCCATAAAATTTCTCTCGTTTCTCTTCTATCTTGTAGCGATTATTTCGAATGCTCTGGAATCTTTTTCTTACAAATTATTTTCAACAATTCAAATTATTAAAACTTATTAGCTCTTGACACAATATGTTTTATCTTTCTCTTGACACTATTTCTCATTCTAACTAATATAGTAATTGTTGTTGTTATTGTCCACTCATTAGTGTTCACTTGGCATTTATAATAGGGTTAATATTTTCGTTGAGATGACTTGCCAATCGCTCAACATGCCAAGGGCTAGCAAGTAGCAACTAGCAAGCCATAGATGGAGGGGAAATGCTCCACTGAGCGAGTAGTGACTAGTGAGAAATGAGAATAGTACTACTAGTGGAGCACTGAAGACAGAAAATGTTTCTTTCTCCAAGACACATTGTATACACACAATTTCCACCCCTAAAAAAAGACATAAAAAGGGAGATAAAATTGATTGATTGGTGTTGAGACTTAAGTGGACAGCACATGGGGTTTACCTGAAGCTGATAATGATGTTTTAAACTCATTAACTAGCTTTATTATACTTTTTTAATCATTAACAATGCCTTCGTTTTCAATCAAAATCTCACATTATTCTTGCTAATTACAATAGAGTTAAGAGATTGTATGTTTATTTGTTTGACAAGGACATTTCTAATAGGGTTAATATTTTTGTATGGCCTGAACTTTGACCAAAATAAATATTCTAGTCAATTTTTTCGATCTATAACATCCTGGTCCGAACTATACATCAAAATAAACAATTTGGCCAGATCCAACTTTTGACCATTAATTTGGACTGTCACACGCGTTGACTAACGGTCAACGCGCCATGTCACTGCCAACTCAGCAAGTTTCAATTAATTTTTTTTTAATTTACACCTATTTTCCTTTTCTTAATCATTTTGAAAAACAAAAATCAATTTTGGGCCAAACCTTTCTGCAAGTTAACAATGGAACATCCCAATTCGTACATTCACTCCAACATCGTCGGATTGGTGACCTTACTCGAGATCTGCAAATCGGCAGAAACCCAGTCCACCGTCGTCGAGCTCCGTCTACGGGCTCAACGAGAAATCTCCCTTTTCCGAATCGGACGGAACCGACTAGCCGGCGAGCCTCTACGCCGCTACAAAAAAAGCCGGAGAAGAAATCACCCACACCTACAACCACATCAACGGATTATCCATCACCAGGCTGAGATTCTTCACGGCTTACGGACCTTTGGGCTCGCTGGATACCGACGAGAAGAGTACCGGTTCGGGCGGGACAAATCTTTTCTTTTTCACAGATCTCCTCGACATGTCTCTTTCCGCAAACCTTCGACGACGGCGAAGGCGGCGACGGAGGCGCTGGGCTATTCTGTCCTTCTCTACAACAACGTTGGCGGTCGGAGCGATGGAGGAAGAGAGGAGAGGAGACGAGACGAGACGAAGAAGGTGAAGAATGAGGTTATGGCAGGGGGTCTGTTGGGGATATTCCCCAAATTGAAATTTTTTCATTCAAAATGATTAAGGAAAGAAAATGGAAATATGTGTGAATTAAAAAAAATTAATTGAAACTTGCTGAGTTGGCAGTGACATGGCGCGTTGACCGTTAGTCAACGCATTTGACCGTCCAAGTTAACGGTTAAAAGTCGGATCTGGCCAAATTGTTTATTTTGATGTATAGTTCGGGCCATAATGTTATAAATTGTTGTCCACGGCTCATGTGATTTTGCCCGGCTCCAGGGATGGGCTTAGCGATCGTCGTCCACGGCAGCTAGAGAAACTCTGATCAAATCTGTTGCTTCTGCGCTACCGCTTCATGTGATGTCCTGCTTTAAACTGCCTCTCTCTCTTTGTCGTACTTTGGATAGGCTGGTTGCACGATTTTGGTGAGGGGTAGAGGACGGGCACTCCCGCATTCGATGGATGTCTTGGCGGAGGATGTGTCATAGTAAGCATGAGGGTGGTATGGGGTTTTGCATATTCGAGTTCTTCAATCAAGCGCTTCTTGCTAAGATTGGCTGGCAAATCCTGACTGGTCCTCAGTCCCTACTCGCTCAGGTGTATAAAGGGAAGTATTTTCCCCATGAAGATTTCCTCTCCGCAGCTCACCATTCTCGTCCTTCCTGGGTTGGCAGAGTATTCTGTATGGGAGGCAATTGTTGACCCAGGGGATTAGATGGCAGATTGGAGATGGGCGAGGGGTGGCGGCTTTGACAAGTAATTGGATTCCCTCGCTCCACCCAGATCCCCCCATGTTTAATCCTCGAATTCTTGCTGAGGGAGTGGAGCTGAAGGTGGATGATTTCATTTGTCCGACTGAGGGGTGCTGGTTACTGGATAAACTTGGGGAATGGTTCCCTCCCGATACCTGTCGTGCTATCCGAAGGATTCCTTTGCCTCGACGGGAGATTGTTGATAGAATTGTCTGGCATGAGACGGGTGATAGGCTCTTCACAGTAAAATTAGCTTATCACTTGGCCGTTCGCCTGGACCAGCAATCTGGGGGTTGGCGCCCGTTGGTAAGTTGGATGGACCGGGGGAGTTGGAAGCGGGTGTGGAACTTGGCTATACCGCCTAAACTGAAGGTGTTCTTATGGCAAGTTCTGCATAGGTTCCTACCCACTACGGAAGCTCTCATTGGGAGGAAGGTAGATGTTCATCCACGCTGCCCGGTTTGCTGGGCTGCGCCAGAAACTATGGAACATCTTTTTTCGACTGCTGTGTGGCTCGTGCTTTGTGGGATTTAGCTGGGCTAGAGCATGTGGGCCAGGGTTTGCCTCGTCTTACTTTTCCTCTCTTCCTCAAGAACCTTCTGGCCATCGTGAGGGACCCTTCCCAGGTCATGGAGATTGTAGCAGTGCTCTGGAGGATCTGGAAGTCTCGAAACTGGGTAGTCTTTGAAGGCAAACAGTTTGGGATGCTAGCCCTGCTTCGGCAATATCATAAGCAGTTGAGGGAGTGGGAGTCGCTTCCGCAGGAGGTTGTGGGCTATGCCCTGTTCAGGTGACCTCTGGGGAGCCCCCTGGTAGCCAGGATACTCTCATTTGTAGGTGGGATGGAGCGGTGCGGCTAGGGTCTCATTCGGCCGGAGGGATGGTGTTGATGGGTCCGGATGGGGTGGTTGTTAGTGCGAGGGGGTGTGTTTTCCGGAGGTTGATGAACCAATGCTGGTAGAGGTGTTGGGCCTCCGGGAAGCTGTACTATGGTGTCGGAACAGAGGTTGTCTCTTTGTTCGCTTTGAGGGGGATGCGAAGGTGGTGGTGGATAGGCTTCTCTTGGCTTAGGGGAGTGATAATATGGCGGGAGCTATTTTTCGTGAGGTGTTGCTCTACATGGCTGAGAATGCAGGGTTTAGTGTTCGGTTCGTTGGTCGGCGTAGTAACAGGGTAGCCCATTTGGTGGCTAGAAAGGCCCTTTCTTTGTACCCGATAGCGAGTCGTTCTTTTGATTTTGTAGCCTGGTTGAGGCAGGTGGTGTAATGATCTAATCTTGAGTATCAAAATATGATTATCTTTTGTAAAAAAATAATAATGTTATAGATCAAAAAGATTGGCCAATATGTTTATTTTGATTAAAGTTCAGGCCATACAAAAATATTAACCCTTTCTAATATTCTGTCATCTATATCTTATTGTCTTTATAGTTTATCCTTCTTTACATCTCCCAATATGAAATTCTAACAAAAACAAGCTCTTTGAATCGATTATTCACCACAAACAAAGAATTCAAAACAACAAGAAATTCGAGAGAGATAAATAAATCAGGGAGTTCACCATACTCGAATCCATCATCTTAAGAGTTTAACACAATTATAGCACACATCTCAAATTAACTCGTGAAAATAAAAACAAAGAATGTACTAAGGAAAAAAATTAAAAAAATAAAAACACAACACTTATCTAAGTTATCCACATAATCAGTTCCTTATCGTTAAACTACAGCCAGTGGCGAAGCCATAAATTCGAACGAGTGGGACCAGATTTGAATCGTCGTAATTGTGGGAGGAAGACTAATGTCTTACCACCTATTCTAATTTTAAATTGTATGCCAAATTTACATGTAATTTTACCTATATTTCAAAATTAAAAAGACTACGGCCCCTCTTACCTTCAACCTAACTCCACCACTAACTACACAAAAATTTTAGCTACAAATCGATAAATGAATTTTATTTTGTTACTGGTAGTTAACTAAGTATACTTTCCATTGGTTAGCTTGCGAGGGCCGACTTGGGGGAAGATTGAGGTTCATTTTTCAGTAGTGTCTAACAATCTAATCCGTACTATTTAGTTGCCTGAGCAGCAAGTCACCGGTGTTTTCCGTCCTGTCTTCATTAATATCCCATGCGCCAGAAGGAAATCTCATTAAATGTGAATGAAATTAGTAGGTGGTATGTTCTTCCCTTCCCCTTCCAGCAAGAAAATTAAAGAAACTTGCAATGCAGACCCAATTAATGATGAATGTAAAAGTTGTTATCAATATCTATGGATGTTGACTCAAAAGTCAAAACTTTCCACCCATGTCTATTTTTTATTCAAATTTTTTTCAAATTCGTTTATATTATCCATATTTATTAAAATACTATTAATTAGCCAAATTTTTCGTAATGTATCAAAATTTTAGTCATTTTTACGTTATCGTTAATAATTTTGTAACTATTTTATTAGTTAAAACTTAAAATACTAAAATTTTGAAATGTTGACCTTACAAGTCAATATTACTAACAAAATTGTTAACTGCAAGTTAACATTTTGCTAATTCTTAATATTTCGATAGTTTTGACTAATAAAAAATAATCCAAAAAATAGACATTACCCTATTGTTTATTCTCTTTTCAAAAGGTCTAACTTATGCTATTATTACTTATGAAGAATGAAAATAAATAACTTTCATAAAAAAACACGAGGTTAATAATTAACTTACAAGCATGCTTGTGAAGTATCAATTACATAGTATACCTGTTTACACCATAAATTTTGTCTTGTACCAAATTGGTGAGTTACAAGATAATCAAGGAGTTTATAAGGCCACACCCATTATAACAATTAATGTTGTTTAAATTGGGCCTTATGGATATTGATTTTAAACCCAAGTCATTAGCTCATTAATGAGCATGGACATGATTCAATAAGGGACATGGGCCTCTCCTAAGAGGCCATGCCATGCAACGAGATGGCATGAAAATTTCTAAGTATGAGAAGTCCATGGCCATGAATGAAAGAGGCCATGCCGCCTCATAACCAAGACCAAACGACACAAAAACATGTCCATCTAGAATTTAGAAGCACATGTCATCTCAAGGAAGACCTCGATACGGTCAAAAATATTCTAAGTCTCGAGAAGGGCATACCACTTCACGAAGAGGCCATGCCGCCCCATGGCCAAGGCCTAATGACTGAAAAATAAACCAAGTCTGGAAGAGGTACATGCCACTTCAAGGAGAAGCACGTGCCGCTTCATGAGAAGGGGCATGGACGCGAGACAAGATGAGACGTCCATGCCACTTCACGAGAAGGGGCATGGACGCAAGAAAATATACTAAGTATGAGAGGGCCATGCTGTGTCACGAGAAGGGCCACATACATGACTGAGAAGTCCATGGCCGCGAATGAGGAGGCCATGTCGCCTCATGATCCAAAATATACTAAGTCTGAGAAGGTCATGCCGCCTCACGAGAAGGGTCATGTGCATGATTAAGAGGTCCATGGCCGTGTCATGTGATGGCCATGGACGCGAAGCAAGAAGCATTAGAAATGATTGAAAATACTAAGTATGGGAAGGCCATGCCGCCTCATGAGAGGGGCCTTGTGCATGATTGAGAAGTCCATGCCACTTCACAAGAGTGGCCATGGACACGAATGAGAAGGCGTGGTGATGGAGAATTATATCACTAGTGAATATGTCTCAAGCGGTCCATGACCGTTAGACAAGAAGGCCATGGACATGAGTAAGAAGTTCATGGCCGTAAGACAAGAAGGCCATGGACATGAGTAAGAAGTCCATGGCCGCGAGGCAAAAAGACCACGACCCCCTTTGCGAGACACCACATGCTCGTCAAAAGAATAGCATGGCACGAGATTCAGAACAAAACCAGGCGAGGCAAGCTATACTCCAAAACCCACGACGGTTCCAAGAGAGGCACCTAGGCGGTTGAAGGAGTAACCACCACTCCGAGGAAGCAGGGGGAGCGGTTCTTTGTAGCAGTTATCCAACAAGCGGTTTTCTATGGCGGTTACCTCCTCGGGGCTATAAATAAGAGGAGGGGTCGACAGAGACAAGAGGTTCCAAAACCAACACTCTGACACACATGTCAAGTTTATCCTTTACCTTTTCTCTATCATGTAGCCATAGATGTAGTTCGTAGTTTGGAGCTCTCGCCGAACCTCCATAGGAGTAGAAGTAATTTAATTTAGATCTCGTTCCCAAAAAACATCAATCAAACACCCTCGTTCGAACTTTGTTTGAAGAGGTTTGAGCCGTGTCTTAGAAATCGTTGTCCATAGAAGTCAAAGGTGCAATCCATCTCAATTCAACAAGAGTTTTCTCGCCGAAAAACAATACCGTACACAGAGAATTGGTCCCAATAGATTTATGATCGACTATGAAGTTGACTTCGCTATATATAGTTTACCAATATCTATAATGTAAATGGCAACCAAATGTGATTATAATGTCAAAAGATTTTCCCTCTCCTAATGTTCAAATCATCTAACATAAATAATTGGGTAATGTCTATTTTTTCCAATTTTTTTTATATTATCCAAACCTATCGAAATACTAAGAATTAGCCAAATGTTAACATTCAGTTAGCAATTTTGTTAGTTATATTGACTTGGTAACATGATACTAACTTGAAAGAGACATATAAAGGTCAATATTTCAAAATTTTATTATTTTAACTAAGAAAAGACTTATAAAATTATTAACGATAACGTAAAAATGACTAATATTTTTATGAATTACGAAAGATTTGGCTAATTAATAGCATTTTAATAGATTTGAATAATATAAATGATTATGAAAAAGGTTTGGATAAAAAATAGACATTATCCTTAATAATTTTGTAACTTCTTTCTTAGCTAAAATACTTAAATTTTAAAATATTAACCTTCATTTGTCTCTTCCCAGTCAGTATCATGTTGTCATGTCAATATTACTAACAAATTACTATCTGTAAGTTAACATTCGGCTAATTTTTAATATTTCAATATCGTTTGCCTAATAAAAAAATCCAAAAAATATTTGACTAATAAATAGTCATAAACGTAACTATTTTTTCACTAGTATTCAAACTCCATTACCTTGATAAATTTTAACTAAACATTTTCTTCACAGTCGCATACACAATTAACTCGACAGGACTTATCTCTTTCTTTCTATATTTCCAGCGAAAAGAAATATTAAATTGACAGGTCACCAACCGAAAAACACATGGAAAAAACAAAACGAAAACATAAAGAAATGCCAAGTCAGATAAGGCACCCACGTGATAGATACGAAATCGACGGCCAAGCTTACCCGCCAGCACAATCGGACGGCTCGGCTCCCGTCAGTCCCAAAAAGACACTTATCGAGAAACAACGGCAGAGAATCCGCCACGTCCCCAACTCCATCCCCGACAACAATCCACATTACCTATTTTAAACCGCCCCCCAACACCCGCAATTTTTTTCCCCCATCACCCACTTCAGTTTCCGCCAGTTCCTTCAAAAACTCAACACTCAACCCTGGTCCTGGTTCTGGTTCTGGTTCTGGTTCGGTTGTTGGGCGGTCATGGGCGACTCGGACAACGACTCGGGCGGGCACCCGAGCGCGGGCGGCGGCGGGGAGATGGCGTCGCCGAGGGAGCAGGACAGGTTCCTCCCGATCGCGAACGTGAGCAGGATCATGAAGCGGGCGCTCCCCGCCAACGCCAAGATCTCGAAGGACGCGAAGGAGACGGTGCAGGAGTGCGTGTCGGAGTTCATCAGCTTCATCACCGGGGAGGCCTCCGACAAGTGCCAGCGGGAGCGCCGGAAGACCATCAACGGCGACGATCTGCTGTGGGCCATGACCACGCTCGGCTTCGAGGACTACGTGGAGCCTCTCAAGGGATACCTCCAGCGATTCAGGGAGCTGGAGGGAGAGAAGGCGGCCGTTGTCACGGGGCGTGAGAGGGACGCGTCCGGCGAGGCGGCGGGGGAAGGTAACTACGCCTTGGGTGGGTTTCAAGGATATGGGCCCGGGCCCGGGCCCGGCGGTAGTGGTGGTGGACGTGGGGGTGGGTTTTATAATAACAACAATAATAGTGGGGTGGCGATAATGGGTCATAGTGGCGGTCTTGTGTATACTGGGTCTGGAGTCGGTTTGGGTAGGCCCAGATAGATAAATTATGTGGACCATGACCCGGTTAAGCCCAAATGATGCTGTGATTCCCAATAAACGGGGCGTTTGGCGGGAACGGAATCTTGATCAACCAGGAAGGAAGACGTTGGTGGAGGGAGACACGTGTAACGATCTAGTTTCTTTCTGGATGAAAACGGGGTGCGTGATATCACTGATGGAGTGATTGTTCATGTACTTGGACGTTCCCTCCCTCCCTGCACCTTATATTTTTGTGTTAGTGGAGTTTACCATTGTAATTTTAATATTATGTACATGTATTGGTTTTTTATAATATGAACATGTACTATAACATTCCAAATATTTTCCCGAACAAGATATTTTGTTTTGGATTTCGATACTCACAATTCTGTTTTGAGGTGCAATTTAAAGTGACTTCCCATAAGGTAATCTATCATTGTTGTACTCCACGGTCCACGGTGAGCACATTTAAATTTCGCTTTCTCACAAGAATTCCTCTATTTCACCTCAAAACACGTATTGTCAGTTAATTGCAATTTCATTCTAATAAATTATAAATCTCTCACATGCTTTGTCGATGTGAAATTTGACTAAGGTGTCATATATATTGCCTGCGTGTTTGGAAATAAACCCCACTATATATAGTCTATACCTTTTGCAATAATACGGAATGACTTTTAGGAACGACAACGGAGCAAAGTGTGACGTGTATCGCCAAACCCAGTTCCACATTCCTACTTGCTGCTTCATAACTCACTAGATTAGGGCCCGGCCTCTTGGCCGGGAGAGTTTGATTTTCATGTGTATGTGTAGTAAACATTGAGGATTGAACTAACAATTTAATTTGGTAAGTTCTCCATGAATAATATAGGAAAGTATTTAATGTATTTGACTAATGAAGTTTGAAAAATGACAAACAACGCCCAACTACACTAACGTAAATTCATATTTCAAACAAAGTCATATCTATATAAAAATGTCTAAGAAGAACAATGATCAGATTTGTTTAACATCACACATACATAATCAATCTTCGATATATGATAAAAAAATTTGCCTTTTCCATTGACTTTCGTGTATTCAATGATATAATGAAACAAACAATATGTTTAGAGTGTACTTAAAAAGAAACAAACTAACTCACACAGTCATGGTTCCATTGACTTTAGTGTATTCAATGATATAATGAAACAAAGCATGCAAATCTCCAGCTGCAAGTTCAACTAATAGAGCAACACATAAAAAACTAAATCAAAGAGAAAAGAAGGCAAAAACTAAAAGCAGCATACCTAACATTTTGGGGGAAATCCAGAACAATAAAAGTCATTGTATGAACACTTGATAATGATTTGAACACTTGTGATATATGAGTAATGAAAGTTAATAAAAGTCATTGTAGCTCTTACTCAAGTTAGAAAGACTTTGATTTAATGGTAAGTAAACAATGATATGTAGTGCTTAAGAGGGAAGATGAGACCTTACGTTGTTTATTAATATGCATCTTAGTTTCATAAATTTTACATCATTAAAAATTTATGTGCTTAATAGAAACCCATCCAAGTTTGGAGCCATTGTAAAATGTAAGTTATGAGGCAAATGAAAAGTCTCAAGCAAGGTTGTCAACCCGCGGGTTGACTCGGACCCGGTGAATCTAGTGAGTCAAGGGTTAATGGATCACCCGGTTTAGCCCGGTTTAGACCGAAAATATGGAAAGAGTCAGTATATTATACTTATCCTGATAAATTATATCAAATCTCATCTAACATATGAGTTATAACATATAATATTACACTAAAATAACATATCGTACTTAGATCCAACATATAGTGAAAATTCACACACAATTATATAACAACAATATTCAAATGTTCAACTTAGGATTCCAAAGATTGAGTTAGGCGGAAAGAAAATTGGAAACTAGGCGCATTTCGCAAACCATAGAAAAAAATGACATAATTTGACCTCTAACCCGATACCTTGTAGCGGTCGACTCGGCGGGTGCGTGCAGCCCGTTTTTCTCACTGGGTCAGGGTCAAAGTGGGTCGACCCAGGGGTCGACCCGCGGGTTGACAACCTACTCTCAAGCATCCACATGCTTGCAAAATAAATCTAGATTATTATCAAACATAAAATCATATCTTGCATAAGAAAAAAGAACAAAAAAGTAGTAATTCGATAATCAATATAGGAATCAATATGGACACAATATCTAACCAAGAGAAGAGGAAGCGAAAAAATACAAATTGTTGTGTATAGATTCCGCTCACGATATTTCAATAAAAATATCATAATAATTATTAACCAATAAAAGGGAATGGTTAAGGGGAAAATGCATCAATTTGAACCTAAAATGAGAGGAATTAATATCCTACACCATCATATATATTGATATATTATATCACAGAACATCATAAAAAAATCTATCTAAATGAAAAAGTATACTAAATTGAATCCAATGTAAAAGTAACGATGAATGTGGATATTATATCCACCTAAGGAATAATAAAGTAAACCATGTTTCTTAGAGAACTCTCTCGATAGAACCACTCTATTATAAAACCCATTTCGTCAAGCAATTGCATCATATAGAGTTTTAACTTAAAATTGAAGTGCTTATAATTATCTATTTCAGCTCATGAATGAATTAATTATATCATTTGGTAAAAGAAAATAATTTATAAACTTGAGAGTTATTTCGTTTGTTGTTAAATCATTTGAACTAAAGTATGAAATTGCTTCAAAATCGTTATTTTATTCATTATTATTTAAATTGCTATTTTTATTATAATGTCTAAGCATGTCTAGGCGAGCTAAGAGATAGACAAATGTCCAATGACCGTCGTACGCCTAACGTGCTTCTAAACCTCAATAATTATAGCAAACTTTGAGTGCATCTTATAAATTTGATCACTTCTATTTGGATATAATTGATTACATCAACAAAGCGATCAATCAAAGAGTCTTTCTTTAAGATTTTGATAAGATGTCCCCTACTGCACAATTAGTATGACTAAATTGTACTAAGATAATCATGTATTGAATTTTGAATCGATAGCGCAAAAGATTGTACTAACTCAAGTAGAGGTTTAGCTACTCAGTACTTCATATTTGCATGTAGATAGCTATTTCGAAGAGTTCGAATATTGATTGAGTTTGTTGAACTTTACCGAACGAAACTATGATATCAAGCGCAATATATTATGCTTTTAGGAGAAATTGGGAGAATATGTTGGTGACATCAAACCTAACATGGATACCATTGAATTTAAGTGATAAGCAACATTTATGTTTAATAGATTAGACATGAAAAATATATTTAGCATTCTTATAAGTTGGTGTGAAGAAGTGAATAATTAGGATTTGAAAGCTAGAAACAAAGTTGATTTAATAAATAACTGCAAATGATATTGTGAAAAAGAAAACAAATGCTTAGAGCATAGTTAGGCATGAGAGTGTTACATTACACTCTCTAAGAGAAAGCAAGGAACCATTAATAGTTAGCTGTGGATATTGAAATAGTTAATTATGATGAATATTATATACCGGTGTTGATACTTGGACCTTAGCTTGAACATTTCATCATGCTGATAAAAATTATTTCATTAATTACATTATTGAAATAAGGGATCGTATGGAAGTTTTGATTGTTTTTTTTAGATTGTTAAAATAAATACATCTTTCATAATACAATACATATGTTTTTATTTTTGTTCATACACAATCGTGGATTATTTGCTTGATTTGACTAAACTATCATTCAAATTGAACGATTAAACAATTTCGAATTTTAGCATAGACTGTCGAGATAATTGGTATCGGTATTTGTCATTTTTATTTATCTTGAAATGTATGGTACCAGTGTCCTTATATCGTGATTGAACACTTCATTCAACACTTCAATTCAGTGCGCAATATTCCAACCAATGATATTTGTGTTGAGATTTTAATATTATCCTTTATTTATAAGTTAGAAAAAAATATAAATTAATTATTAAAATATGAAAATAGAAGTATCAAACTCCACAAAATACTTATAGGAGACTTAGCGGGCTAACTAGCTGTGATAGAAAAGTACTTTGTTTTTCATAATTTTAACTTCCTCTATGTTTTGTATTAATAAAGTACAACAAATGTGTCTAGCCTAGTTGGTTACAATTCTTGTCTTTGGTGGAAGGGACCATGGTTCAAATCCTAGCATTGATATCTTTTTATATAAATAAAAAAATGATTGTGTAGACGAAAATACCATTCCTAATTTCACTCTCGTTGCAGGAAATTTGAAATGGAGCAAATCAAACTCTTTAAAATCTACACATAATATAAAGTAGGAAGAACATTTTGGTCTTCACAATTACTTTTTTTATTCATTAAAAAGACACGTACTGAAATTCGAACCATGTCCATCTTACAGAAAAGCAAGAATCATAACCAATCACACTAAGTAAATTTGTTGTATCATTTTAAATAAAAAACATATAATAGCAAGGAGGAAAAAACCATTGCCGCATTTCAAATTCCCTGCTCCAGGAGCGTTTGTAGGAAGGGTAGGATAGGAAGTGTCAATTTTTTTCTCTTTCCTCTATGGAACGGGCCAACTTACCATACACATGTGGATTTAAACGGGTCCAGGAGTGTCAATTTTTTTCTTTAAGCCCTTTTATTTCTCCGTGGTGATAAAATATATATGAGAAGGCAAAAACAATACTCTTTTTTATTGCTAAAAATAAAAACAATTAACAATAAACTAATGCATGGTATTGACTCGCTACGACACAACACCTAACAATGGCCAAGTGTAACCAATGGAAGGAACTGCAGTATAGTGGCTCAAGTGATAAATATCGAATCCACGGGTCTCTAGAGTTACTATTACTCAGCTTCAGTTTATTATTTAGCAAACCAGATTAAGATGAAAGAACTAAAACTACTCTAACAAACTACAGTTAAAGTTAATCTAATTACAGGTTGGGAACTCACTTAGGTATGATTCCCTCTAGCCACTAGCCAGACTAACGATTGATGATTTCTAACTTGTTTCACTTTCATTCACAATGCGGAGAATCCTTGACTAGACCTTGAGTCTCTACTAAAGGAACAAGGCCCTCTCTGCAAATGGATCCTTGCTAAGTAGTTCCTCGAAGTTTGGTGGAGATATCAAATGTAACTCATGGCCGGTGCAAGCCTCTTCCACCTCAACTTCGTCCTCAGCTTGGACGCCAATTGCTTCTTCAACCTCCCTTCCTTGTTCATGTGGTATCACCCCTGGGAAATGATCAAGAACTCCTCCTGCTTCACTTTCGTCATCCTCCACAACTTCTTTCTGCACCCTTTCTTGCTCTTCTTCTTCTAGCACGGATTGGAGAGCAAGTTGCCAAGCAATTTCTTTCATGAGATCTTCTTGCATCTCCTCACTCATGCCCGCCTCTTCAAAGCTCAGTTTGGGGTGTGGGAAGGTGTGGTCGGCTACGACAGGACACTCCTGATCATGATCATCACGGGAGCTCTCCGTGACAACTTCAGTGTGCTCCACAATGTCCTTGTAGCCTTCTTCTTCCTCCTCCTCTTCTTGTATGGTAGCAGAAGGGTGATCTGGAGCAGGTTGTGCCCAAGATCGCTAAGATCATCGACGCTCTTCTTAAGGCTCAGGAGGATCTCCTCTGTTTCACGATAGGCCTGGAC